GTTGTTTTCTTCACAAGTTGATGCCTTGTATTCCCAAATGACGTCAGTTTTTATCACTTGAGATTTACCATTTCACACAATGTAAAATTCAGTTTTTAAGCTCGAGAAATGGTAGTTTTAAAAGCAGAGAAGTGTCTGTAGAATGTCAAGAACCTAAAACAGAAGATTAGTTTTTGGTTTAAATATCCAAGAATGTTTCCAGGTTGCAATAACTCTCAACCTAACATGACACAGATTCAGTATCTCTTTTGCTAGGCTAGAAGAAAACAAAACTACACTGCGAAAAACTCCCGGTTTAAGATAACCGAAAGAATGATCTACGACCCAAGCTTTGGTAGCTTTTCATCTTCTCAAAACTCGGATAAAGCTACAAAAGAAGAGAAGAGAAAAAAGTTACCAGAAATGTCAGATTCTTATCAGTTTCTGTAGTGAAATCAAAACGGAAGTTAACTGTTGAATGGTGATGATGATACCTTGGGAAGAGAAACAGACAAAATGTAGCAGAAACAATGACTGTGATTAAGCAGGGCTTTGTGCTAGCAGCAGAAGCTGAGGTTGACCTTTTTGCAACAACAACAAAAAGGGGTTAAGAATCTTTCATTTGTGTCCAAGAATAATGCAACATGAACCTTTACCTAGCAACAATGCTCGCAACAGACTCAGTTTCAAGACCAGACCCGTAAGCGAAAAGCGGGTCATAATGTGAATCTCCATAGCTCATAGGCAATTGCTCCATGTTTCTAAACCATGTAACAGGTAGTTTTCCACTGAAGCCATGGTCCCCGAAGAGAGCATCACTGATACCTTGGCCTTCTGTTCCAGGTAGCCACGCTGCAACCAATGCCTCGATCGAGGCAACGTAAGGTTCCATCACAAGTGGTCTGCCTGAAATGACCACAACCACACATTTGACAGCCTGACAAGTCGAGGTAACAATGGCTGGACCTGGATCCATCATGGTTAGCTTGCCACTATCTCCAGCTGTCTCTGCGTACGGAGGTTCACCAACAACAATGATTGCGTAAGCAAAGTTGTTCGACTTGATGAATTCAGCATCTGGGTTTTCGCGAAAGACAACTTCAGTGCTTTGATCAACAGCTGATTTTACAGCGCCAAGAACAGTCGTCCCTGAATCAGAATAAAAAGAGAGTATATTGTTCACATTGTTATTGCTAAAATGTTGACACTTGTATAAGAGTTGCACAACGTACCTCTCGTGTTCTTGTTACCGCTAGTTCCTTGCCAAGTTATGGTCCAACCACCACACTGGTAACCTAAATTATCAGCGTGAGTGCCAGCGACTAGGATCTTTGAAGTCTTCCTGGGAAGTGGAAGCATAGGATTGGTTTTGTTCCCGTTTTTCAGTAGCACAAGCGATTTCCTAACAGCCTCCCTCGCTAAGTCTCTGTGTGCCTAATAGAATTTGAGAACATTACATCAAGATTTCATCATGGTCTTTGCAAGTAAAATATCAGCATCTCTGGTTAGACCACTGACCTGGCTTCCTAGCTCATTGGAAAAGCTGTAATCAGCAATAGGGTTCTCAAAAAGACCCATGGTGAACTTGACAAGCAGGATTCTTTTCACAGCATCATCGATGCGGGTGATAGGAATTACTTTGTTCTTCACCAAGGACGTAAGATCATTGACAAACTCAGTGAAGTTGAAGGGGACCATGACCTGCATATTATTTCATTAGCTAATGCAGACATGAGTAACATTTCTTTCAGTACAGGAATGTTTGTGAAGTTAAAAACACGAAACCATATCAATGCCAGCTTGAATTGCAGCTCGGACAGAAGCTGTGTAGTGTGTATGCGGTGGTGTAGAGATCTTATCAACGCCTTGCCAATCCGAAATAACAAAACCCTACACATATCATAGAGAAGATAAGTACATTGACAAAAAGCAAGTCCATTCAGAGAAAAGCTAATGCAAGAACACAGAATGCAGACCTTAAACTTAAGAGTACCCTTGAGATACCCTGTGATAAGCTCGGTATTCGCATGCATCTTCTCACCGTTCCAGCTCGAATATGAAACCATGACAGTGGAAACACCTTTGTAAATTGCATCAGCATAAGCAGGCATGTGAACGCTGAGAAGACCGTGTAAATCAGTCACCGTGTTGTTCTCGTTAATTCCTCTTGTTGTCCCACCATCTCCCACATAATGCTTGGCACAAGCTGCAACTTTATCCCTATCAAAATCAAATGAACAAAAAAGATATGATCAAACTTTTGTAAGGCGCATATAGTCAATAACACCAAATAAGCAGAAAGCCTTACTTGCCACCAACGAATGGAACTCCGTGCTTATAGTTGGAAGGAGGCTCTCCTTGTAAACCAAGTATGACATCAGTCATGTCTTCCACAACTTTGTGATCCTCACTGTAGCTCTCATAACACCTACCCCATCTGGGATCTCTACAAACCTACAAAGAGTAAGTGAGAGTCAACTTTAGCCAATGTCCATACTCCATAGTACCAAAAGATACAAAAAAGTTAAGGAAACTTTACTGCAATGCAAGGAGCAAATGTGTATGGAATCCCGGTGGCTCTGACTTCGACTGCAGTTGCTGCTCCAATCCTCTTAACCAGATCAGGATCCCTGTGGGACTCAAAACATCAGCATATTGACTCTGAACTGCATACATTGACTCAGCATTCTTAAGAAAGGATATGGGAAACATGCAAAATCACAATACTAATACTTGCCTAGTGGCTCCAAGACCAACATTGTGAGGGAAGATAGTAGCATTGTAGACGTTATTATGCCCGTGAACGGCATCAATGCCATATATCATAGGAATGCCCAAACGACTCGCTAGAGCTCCCTTCTGATACTCATTTATCATATCAACCCAATTCTGGGCAGTTGCCTCAGGAAGTGGAGCACTTCCACCACCACTTAATACACTGCCTGTACATAACAAGTCATCACAAATATAGATGCTCAATACTAAGCAAGTTACAAAGCCTAGAACATTAAGATATAATGAAATCAAACTAAAATTAGCCAAGCAAGTGATTGGAAATTCAAAGAAAGATTTGTGTGCATACCGATGAAGTAATCTCTCATAATGTTAACAGTGGCAACACTTCTATCAATCTGCACCATCTGACCAATCTTCTCTTCAAGAGTCATTCTACCCAACAAATCCGTAACTCGATCTGACACTCTCTGTTTAGGGTCCTTGTACAGTACATACTCTCCTTCCCCATTACAACAAACCCACACACACATCCATAGAAGAATCCCCACGATTCGTACATGAAACACTTTCCTCATCCTCCGTAATAAAGGCAATTCTGGGAGTAGAAAAGAAACTCAATATAAGAAAATAGTTCTCACTTCTCAGCAGCCAAACAAGAAACAACAAAGAAAAAGAAAAAAGCAACCTTTTTTCATCAATGAATATACAGAGAAGATAAAGTAAGCATTTTTACATAAAAAAAAAAGCAAACTTTTATTTTTTTGCCTCATACAAAGATTCAAGCTAAACCAGAAAATGGGTAACATGAAATCGGAAGGATTATACATTCGGG